ACACACACACACACACACACACACACACACACACACACTTCCTGCTTTGGTCTCCTGCAAATGTTCCTGATGAGTTGGTTCTGCGCAGATAGGCACCACCAAGAGTCCTGTTTTCCTGCCCCCTATGTCAAATTGTCCTCAGAGTAGTGTCTCACTTGGTAGCACCCCTTTTATTCCTGCCCCTCCCCACTTCCCGCTTTGGTGTCTTGCAACTGTTCCTGCTGGTTAGTTGGTCCTCTCGGATAGGCCCCAGCGAAGAGTCCTGTTGACTTGCCCCCAGGTCAAGTTGTCCTCAGAGTAGGGTCTCAGTTGGTAGGCCCCCTTTATTGCTTCCACTTGCTGCTTTGGTCTCTCCCAACTGTTCCTTTTGGTTGGATGGTCCGGCTCAGAGAGGCCCCAAGAAAGAGTCCTATTTTCATGCCCCAGGTCAAGGTGTCTTCAAAGTAGGGTTTCAGTTCTTAGTCCCCCTTTGTTCCCTTCCCCACTCTTCCCGCTGTGGTCTCCTCCAACTGTTCCTGCTTCTTAGTTGGTCCTGCTCAGATAGACACGCACCAGTAGTCCTGGTTTCTTGCCACCGGGTCAAATTGTGTTCAGGAGGGGGTCTCAGATGGTTGCCTTCCCTTTTATTCGTTTCCCCCACTTCCTGCATTGGTCTCTTCAAAATGTTAATGCTGGTTAGTTGCTCCGGCACAGATAGGCCCCAACAAAGAGTCCTTTTTTCTTGCCCCCAGGTAAAGTTCTACTCAGAGAATGGTTTCAGGTGGTTGCCCCCCTTTTATTCCTGCCGCCCCCCTCACAGTTTCTGCTTTGGTCTCTTCCTACTGGTCCTGCTGATTAGGTGTTCCTGCTCAGATAGGCCCCAAAAAGAGTCCTGTTCTCTTGCCCCCAGGTCAAGTTGCCCTCAGAGTAGTTTCTCAGTTGGTAGCCCCCCGTTCATTCCTACCGCCAACAAAGTTCCACCTCGGTCTCTTCCACGTGCTCCTGCCGGTTAGTTGGTCCTCTTCAAATAGGCCACAACCATGAGTCCTTTTATCTTTCCCCCAGGTCAAGTTGTCCTCAGAGTAGGGTTCCAGTTGGTAGCCCCCGTTTTATTCCAGCCACCCCTCCCCAGCACACACTCCCATCTTTGGTCTCCACCAAATATTCCTGCTGGTTAGTTGGTCCTGCGCATTGAGGCCCGAGCAAAGAGTCCTGTTTTCTTGTCCTCTAGATCAAGTGGTCCTCAGAGTAGGATCCCAGTTGGTAGCCCCCCCCCCCACACCTTTCTGCTTTGGTCTTTTCCAACTGTTCCATCTGGTTAGTTGGTCCTGCTCAGATAAGCCCCAAAAGAAAGTCCTGTTTTCTTGCCCCCAAGTCACGTTGTCCTCAGAGTTGGTTTTCAGTTGTTAGCTCCCCTTTTATTCATGGTGACCACACACTTCCCACTTTGGTCTCTTCCAACTGATCCTGCTGGTTAGTTGGTGCTGCTCACGTAATGCCCTGATAACGCATCCTGATTTCTTGCCCCTAGGTCACGTTGTCATCAGAGTAGGTCTCAGTTGGTGGCCCGCACGTTCCACACCTCCTCCTCAGGGGCACAGTTGTTCTCCAGGAGGACCACCCCCAAGACCAGCACCAGGAGGCTGGCCGTGGGCATGCCCTGCCTACTGCTTAGCATCCCATGACATATCAGGCCAAGGATGGTGACCAGGAAGAAGGAGTGGTCTCTGGCGTCCGCTTCCTTCACGTCAACACCAAAGACCAGCTGCAGATACTCGCAGGCTTGGCGGAAGATCGTGGGGACGTGGTCCTGGTCATCTTGGCAGACCGCCGCCAGCACCTCCGCCTGTGTGGTCGGTCGGCTGCTGAGTGCGATACTCGAGGAGCAGGAATGCCACCAGGTCAGCCAGCCTCATGCCGAATGCCTCTGGGAGTGAGGGCTGAGCTCCTTCTGGGGCCCCTCTGGTGCTGGAACCCTCCTCATTGGGGCTGCTGGGGTCCTCATCGGACGGGCTCCACGGAGCACCTGCCATGTCAGCGGGGGAGGGGCAGGCATTCGGAAGGCTAAGACTCACTCTGTTGAGGGGCCCAGGCTCCCTCTGTCCTCCTTCTGCATCCTCGCCAAGAATGGCCACAGGACCCAGGCCCTGCCCTCTGCTCACTTGAGGTGTCCCAGCCACCTCCCCCAACCCACACACACACCCTATGTCTGTGAGACTCCGCTGTGGAAGTCTGGCCCGACTCGTCCACCGAAATGCCCATCCTGCCCCTGGCCCTTCACAGAAGGACACGGGTGCCCGAACTCCGGCAGGTTCCTTCTGTGGGTCCTTCGGTCCTCCCCCCATGTCCCCACCTGGACTCCCTAGCCCGGCCCGTGCCCCTGCCCTTTCTGACCTGGGATCCTGTCCCTCACCCCAAGGTCCTCAGCTCCCTCAAACCCCCGAGGTACAGTTGAGTGGACACAGCCTGCGGCCGCCCTCTCCAGAAACCCCGGCCTCAGCGGGGCCTGAGCGCCTCTACCCAGGGTGGGTGGGTGTAGTAGGCCCTACCGCTCTCCCTCAGGTCCAGACACCAGCTCCAGGAAGAGCCTGGGCCCGTCCCTCTGGGGCCCCGAGTCTACCACCCTTAGCCCCGCTGGGAGAAGGGCTCCGCCTGACCACCCTGCCGGGGTCTCTCAGGCTGCCGGCTGGACTGACCTGGATTCCGGGTTGGGGGGGGCCGGCCGTGCTCCCTCACATGTCGACGTGCACGCCTTGCTGCCCGGCCGGGCCCCTTCTCTCTGCCGGCCCGAACCAGGCATCCCAGACCGAGGCCCCCACCTGTGTCGCCATCCTTTCTGGGATGCTCACCTTGACTCTGACCGGCTCGGGCCGTGCCCCCGCCCTCTGAACAGCTGAGTCTGTGCGCCTCAGATCCAGGCTCTCACTCCCCGACTTCCTGGAGACAGAGGCAGGGAGCACACCGCAGCCACTGTCCCCTCCCCGCTACATTGTGATCAGCTGCCCAGAAGGCATCGCACTGAACAGAGATCCCAGGCCAGCCTGGCTCGGGCAGGGCATCTCCACTGCAGGACTCCCCCCCTGGAGCCCCAGCGCCTCAGCCTTCTTTCATTTCTTCTGCTCCTCTTAGGGGACCTTTCCCTGCCTTCCCATGGGGACCGCAGCTGCTAGATAGTCACCTATGGGTGGGACGTGTCCTGCCTCTCCTAGTGTCCTCACTGCCAACACAGGGCCCTTTCGAGAGTGAGCAGAGCTCAGCGAATGTCCGGCCACAAATGTCCCAGTGAGCTGGGGACCTCTGCTCAGATCGAGTGTCTCCTCCTTTCTTGGAGACCCAAGCAAAGGCAGGCACACATCTCTACGTCCCTTGTCCAGAATGACAGACGACAAGGGACAAGAAAGAAGAACGAACATCTTTTATTGCTCCATGTCCTGAAACCATCCGTTTACTGCCAAGGTCTTCACGTTTGCAAGACATCCCTGTCTGTGCCCAGCCCAGGCACCGCGATTCCCTTCTGGATCCTGAACGAGGACGGAAGGGTTCCCAGCTCATTGCATCAAACGGCACAACTCTGACTCTTGAACACCTGTGGCGTGGGTGCCACTCCCACACTGAGCCCGAAGCTCACGACACCTTCTATGACAAGGAACAACATCTGAAAACTTCCTCGAGGAAACAAAGATCGATTTCCGAGGCCACGTAGACAGAGAACAAGAACCCACCCAAACGTGCGCTTGGCCCCGCTTTCCCCCAAGCCGCCCTGGCCCTCCACTACTCACAACGCCCAGCGCCCGCTCTGCTCGCACTCGCAGGGGAGAAGTGGCCTGGCTTCGTGCCCCGCAGGAGAAGCTGCTCGACCCCAGGTGGGAACGGGCCCGGCTGCCCCTCGGGCTCAGGCCCGCTCTTCCTCATGGCTCACAGCCT